GAAGTAGTTCTAGGATCCTCTGTAGAACTGGATTAACGAACATAAATTACTTAAATTTGTTTTCATCATGAGAAGCTTTTCCTTCTCATTTGACTATAACTGATGGTTTTGCTGGCCAGAATGGTCTGGGCTGGCATCTGTGTTCTTTCATGACTTGTAGGACATCTTTCCAAACCTTCTGGTTTTCATAGTCTCCCTTGAAAAGCCAGTTGTTCTTGGGCCGCCTCTATGTGACTTGATCTTTCCCTCTCATAGCTTTCAATAATTTTTTTTGGTTCTGTTCATTTAGTGTTCTATTATATGATTTGGGGGAGGGATTCTTTCCTGGTCCTATCTACTTGGTGTTCTGTATGCCTCTTGCACCTTGGTTTGTATCTGTTTCTTAGATTTGGAAATTTTTCTTCTATGGTGTGTTGAAAATATTTTCTGTGCCTTTGACCTGCGTTTCTGCTCCTTGTTCTGTACCTCTGATTCATGGGTCTGGTCTTTTATAGTTCCCCATAGCTCATGCTTGCTATGTTCCTGAGTTATTTAGATTTAACATTTTCTTTGACTGAACGATCCATTTCCTCAACCTGATCTTTGAGACCCAATATTCTCTCTTCCACTTGGTCCAATCTGTTGGTGAGACTCTCCTCCGAATTTTTTGTCTGACTTCCTGAGCTTTTCATTTTGAGTTTTATTCCATTTTGGCCTCTCAGATTCTCCTTATGGAATTCTAATCTCACCTCTTGAGTCAGTTTAGTAATTTCATTTAACTGTTAGTGTTTTCATTCTCTACTTGGTCTTTTATTTAGATCCTCTTGAGTTCCTTTATAGTTGCTATTTTGAGATCAATGACTTGTGCATCAGCTAGGCTGCCCTTCTCAGGAAACTTTGGGATGCTGATTTCTAGAGGAGATATGTCGTCTTGGTTATTCATGTTCTTTGTGTTTTTGTGACGGGTCATAGGTGTCTGGAGTTATATCATTGATGGTGTTTCTTAGTTTGGATAACTGATCTTACCTTTCTTGAGTGTTTGCATCTTTGTTTACTGTTACCCCAACTTGTCAGGTTTCAACCAGTTGAGTGGTTCTTGGTATTCGGCTTTGGGGCCACTCTGTGTAAGCATGTGACTGGGCTGTCAAAGTAGTTCTAGTTCAGCTAGGGATGTGTACAACTTCCAGCCTAGGAGCAAACCTTCTGTGGGCTTAGAAGACTTGCTGCTCATCTTCTAAAGCTGTAGAGAGCTCACAGGTAACTATTGGTTCGCAGGGGCCTGGGGTCCATGTGTGAGTGGGTGGTTCCCCCATGGAGATAGAGTGCAGATCAGCACATTGTCCTTAATTGGAAGTGATAGGGATCCTTATCTGGGATCACGGGCATAGGATACCCCACAGTCCCAGAATATCTTTGTAGGAGGCCTGGTGGGCTAGCTCTTGGGGCCCCTACACAGTGTCATGGTCATGAGGTGCCATGTGGTCTTAGAACTGAACTGTGAGTGGGGTGATTGTCTAGAAGCCACTGGGTCTAAGGGTTGCTACCTGCAGTTCTGGGTCAGACTCCATGGGTTCCAGTGCTGTGGATGGTGGAGTGCATGCTGGTCTGGCAGTCCCTACTTGCAGTTCTGGTCAGACTCTACATGGATCTGGAATGATGCAGAGGGTGGAGTGGCTACTTGGCTACATGTTTTTGATTATTTTAACTTCATGCATAATACGCCTATTATATATTACATGTAAATGCTAAACAGTTTCAGAGGGAGACAAGGAAGGAGGGAGGGACAGAGGGAGGGAAGAAGAGAAAAAAATCAGACCTGAATCATGATGGCTGGTAGATTTCATGATATGATCCAGGAATTTCCTCCTGAAAGGCTTTACAACTTCTTCTCTCAAAGGCTACTTTACAGCCAGATCAGCCTCATGTATCAGATCCTAGATGAGCCTTGCTAGCTCTGTGAGACATGAAGCATGTATCTAGAAATTCGGGCATTTGGCCTTCCCTTCCAGAATCTTTAATATCTCTCTCATCTCTCTCTCTCTCTCTCTCTCTCTCTCTCTCTCTCTCTCCATTTTTTCCTTCTAGGAACTTTAGTTCATAGTTCCCCTGTTGGTCAGGCATCATATTTGTGCATGTAGAGATCAAATATGTTTCACTGAAAATGGAGAAGCAATGCTCAGTGGATTTGCCAGTCTTCAGAGTAGAACAGAGGGCACTGAAAATGGGAGCTCTCTGTTCAAGTAAAAATTGCAATACAGATTGTTTATAGATTAATGACAAGTGAGACATGCTTGCAACATACTATAAACATAAAATAAAAATGTTCCAAAATTATAAGTTAATCTTATGCAAAAATCAAAACACAACCCTATGTAAAAATGTTCAATCGTTTGGTAATTAATGAAATGAAAATAAAAGCAAGTATTGTTTCCTATCAGATTTACAAATAATTAGAAACATTGAAAATACTGATTCTTAAAGCTGCTAAGACCAAAGAAAATAGGCATTCTCATCACTGCTGCAACCCTTCCCAAGGGCTCACCAGCGTGTGAGGTTCTTACACATATAGTTGATCTTTTCTACTTTCGTTAATTTTTTAAAAAACTATTTGCTATACAACTGTTGGGGGCACAAGCAATCTACTTGAAGAAGTTGCCCAAATGCCTATGGTTCCTACTTCTGTTACAATGTCTGCTATTCTCAAGCCTGAACCTATGGCTTCATGGGGTGTGCTCTACGATTGATTGACTGAGGAAGAGAAGACCAGGGCTTGGTTTACAGATGGTTCCGCACGCTATGCAGGCACCACTCAGAAGTAGACAGCTGCAGCATTACAGCCAATTTCTGGAGCAATCCTGAAGGACACTGGGTAGAACTCTCAGTGGGTAGAACTTCAGGCAGTGCATATGGTCATGCATTTTGCTTGGAAGGAGAAATGGCCAGAAGTGCAATTTTATATGGATTCATGGGCTGTAGCCAATGGTTTGGCTGGATGGTCAGGGACTTGGAAGGAGCATGGTTAGAAAATTGGTTGGTTAGAAAATTGGTGAGAAAGACATTTGGGGAAGAAGTATGTGGATAGAGCTCTCCAAATGGGCAAAGGATATGAACATACTTGTGACTCATGTAAATGCTCATCAAAAGGTGGCTTCAGCAGAAGATGAGTTCGGTAATCAAGTAGATCAGATGACCCACTCTGTGGATAGTCAGCCTCTTTCTTCAGCTATCTCTGTTATTGCTCAATGGGCCCATGAACAAAGTGGCCATGGTGGCAGAGATGGAGGTTATGCATGGGCTCGATGGCATGGACTCCCACTCACGAAAGCTGACCTGGCTACAGCTGCTGCTGAGTGCCAGTTGTGCCAACAGCAGAGACCAACACTGAACATCCGATATGGCACTATTCCCCGAGACCAACACTGAACATCCAATATGGCACTATTCCCCATGGTGACCAGCCTGCAACATGGTGGCAGGTTGACTACATTGGGCCACTTCCATCTTGGAGGGGACAGCGTTTTGTCCTTACAGGAATAGACACTTATTCTGGTTATGGATTTGCCTTTCCTGCATGTAATGCTTCTGCCCAAACTACCATCCAGGGACTTACAGAATGCCTTATCCACCATCGTGGTATTCCGCATAGCATTGCTTCTGACCAGGGAACTCACTTCACAGCCAAAGAAGTGCGACAGTGAGCCCATGGTCATGGAATCCACTGGTCTTACCATGTTCCCCACCATCCTGAAGCAGCTGGCTTGATAGAATGATGGAATGGCCTCTTAAAGACACAATTAGGTGGAAGTAGCCTGGAGGGCTGGGGCAGGGTCCTCCAGAAGGCAGTATATGCTTTGCCTTCTCTCTCGCTGGTAGTTCGTCTTGCTGCTGTAGACTGGAGACTAGCCGATCTTTTGGAATTCATCAGACCTTCAGCACCAGATTGGGGCTACTGAGACATCCAGCCTTGTGGACTGAGCAACTATGGATTCTCAGCCTCTCCAGTGTGGTGCAGGCATCGTTGGACTGCTCTGACTCTATCTTGTGAGCTAAGCTGATAAATCCCTATACATATATATTCATTCTACCAGTTGTCTCTTTGGAGAACCCTGACTAATATAGTCATAAAATGTGATTATGTTTATGAAGAATTTTTTTCTTCCTACCTATAAGTCTGTCTGAATTTTTGTTGTGTACATGTTTTATTACTAGGCACAAATATATTAACTCCTGAAAAACTTAACTTTCATGTGGAAATTTACAAATTAATGACAAAAGGGAAATATTTGAAACATTATAAATATAGGGGCTGGAGGGATGGCTCAATGGTTAAGAGCCAGTGCTACTCTTGCAGAGGACCCAAGTTTGGTTTCCAGCACCCATAAGACAGCTAACACATGTGTAAACTCCAGTTCCAAGGATCCGATGCCCTCTTCTGGCCTCCGTAGGCATTGCACAATAGAAATGAACTTACATGCAGGCAGTACATGCACACACATAAAATAAAAACAAATAAAATATTTGAAATCATTGCATTTATGTGTGGTGGGTGGTGTTCAGCGGGCTTCCAGTTCTTTTTCCTTTTTCCTTTAGTCGAGGAACCCAGCTCACAGGGTGGTGTCACCCTTACTTAGGGTGGATTTTCTCTCAGTTACATATCCATAGATATGCCTCCTAGGTGATTCTAAATCCAGTCAAATTGATTATCTAAATTAACTATCACTCAGTTTTTCTTATATCCTTCACAGAACCAAAAGACATTTGTGTAGCTAAGCCCTCTTCCTGTTGCTTTTCTGCTGTCACCCCACTCTTGGTTTCAGCAGATTATTCTTTGTGATACTATTTCTGAGTTGTAATCCATATGAGGCAATCTTTCATTAAAACATGAGTTCTGTAAAAGCCAGAATAGACTAGCCAAGGGAGCTAGACCAGAGAAGATAGCTTCTTTCTGTTATGTTCAATGCAGTTTTCTGCTGCTTTTATGAAATGCTTGTGCAATTTAAATTTACTCTTTTGGATTTTAGATCATTCACAACTTCATAAGACGCATCCAGACCAAAATCAAAGACCTTTTACAGCAAATGGAGGAGGGGCTGAAGACAGCTGACCCTCACGACTGCTCTGCCTACACTGGTTGGACAGGTGAGGGGACTGCCTTACGTGTTCCATCCTAGACTCGTGCACACAGACCCTGGCTTTGAAATCGTCTTTTCTTTTAAAATGGTAAAGTTTCATTCCCTGTAAGTGTTAGACTGTCTTCATGGATGAGATGCCTTGGAATTTTGTTTCTGAAGAAATACTGTCTGAAGGCTTGACCTTCATGTAGTATATTTTTATTACATTATTTATTTAACATAATATATAGCTATGAGAATTTGTTTTGGTTTTTGTTGCTGTTGTTACATTATTCTACATGACAAGTTGTGATTGAGTGGTTTCTCTGGTCTGTTTCATAGACTTTGCTACTTGTGCTTAATTTGACTCATTTGTATGTTTTTATTTTTATTTTTATGATAAATATTTTTATTTTATTTATCATTTAAATAAACAGCTAGTAATATACTTCAGACCAAAAGAAAAAAAAAATGTGATCTCAAAAATTGACTTGTCTTAGCTAAACTCTACACCCTTATTACCCTGTTACTGTGGTCTTGCCTTCCCCATCCTTGTGATTTCTGTAGAAGGAACTCTGATGAGACACACATCATTTGGAAGATACGTAGAGGTCATTGCAGAGTAAAGTGGAGCTCACTCCACAGATGAAAATGGACCATTTTATAGGACAGCATATTCTTAAGGGATCAGAGTGAACAATGAACAGTTACCATTGTGCAACTTGTGTTTTAGGCCAAATTTATACTATTTCTAAAATATGTAGCTTTTCCTGAAGGACTTTTTCCTGCCTACATCATCAACCAAGCTGTTTGGATTGACAGTTGTAGGAAGGGACAATGCAATTGCCTTTTTTTTTTTTAAATCAGAAAGCCTGCTAAGAGTAATCTTAAAAGTTTATGGCTCCTGAAACAAAGTTTAGATGATTCTCTATCAGTGACCTTGCCTGGGCAGTTCAGACTGTCACATCTCATGCCAGGGCCAGAGGTAGGATTTCAGTCTCATTCTTTTGGTCAGTAATAAGTTTCAAAACTCGGTTTTACAAGACACTAATTATCAGGGAGTGGTCCAGCCCCAATGCCCTCCAAGCCTACTAGCATCTAACTTGCCAGCTGCCACTACCAGGTAGCCAGCATTGTAATAGCTATATGAGGTGTATAGAAGAAGACAGATTTTGTTCTCAGAAACTGTAGTAAAGTCTGATTAATTGCTAAATGATAATTTACATATAAACTTGGAGACTTTTTCTGTTAGTTTAAAAATATTTTTTTTCTCTGAGAATTCATTCATATATACAATGTATTTTGATCATATCCACCCCCCACTACCTCCCTCCAATTCATCTAGGACCCCTAACCCATCTTCTGCCCAACTTCTTGTCCTTTCATGATCATCATCATTGTCGTCTCATCATCGTTATTGCTAGTGGTGGTGGTTGTAGTAGTAACCCCCGAGTCCAATTAGTGCTGACCATGGGGCAAGGTTCCAGCAGTCATATCCCAAAGGACTGTGACCCTCCCCCTCTCAGCATCCATCAACTGCCAATAGCTCCTGAGCTGAGTGGGGCCTAGGGTGGCTCTCCTCATCCATACCAGAATTTTGACTGACTTGATCTTATGCACATCTTGTGCAGGCAACCACAGCTTTAGTGAGTTGATGTGTGCAACAGCCATGTCATGTCCAGAAGACAGCATTTCACAGCTCTTCTCCCCATCCTCCAGTTCTTACATTCTTTCTGCCCCATCTTCTGTGAGGTTCTCTGAGCCTTGGGTGGGAGGAGTTTGCTATATAGAGGACCCAACTATGCTAAGCATTCACAGTCACTTATTCTAGCATTTTGACCAGTTACACGTCCCTGCTTTTCAGACAAAGGTTGGAAGCAGCTCACATCTATTTGTGTAAACATAAATATGCAGATGACAATTTGACAACATATTCATTTAGTGAAACAAAAGTAGATTTCCCTCATAAGCCCTATGGTAACCTCCCAGACATGGGCTTTTGACCAGGTTTGCAGTACCAGCCATAAATTCCCTCCTATGGAGCAGGCCTCAAGTCCAGTCAGAAAGCAGTTGGTTACCTCCCTAAATGTCATGCCATTACTGCACCAATAGGCATAACTTGCATGGCAAGTCAGTACTGGACCATGCAGGATCCTGTGCTGGGTAACTCTGTTGATGCCTTTTCACCAGCCTGCATAGCCCTTTCCAGCACTTTGAAAGCTAGCAGCAGAGAGGTCAAGTTTAGTTGATTTCTGATTGTCCTGTAACCTCAGCTTGGTTTCCAACATAGCTGCACTGGTTTATACTGCCTCTGTTGGTGCATAGGAGACCCCTCTCTACACACTCACTGTCGCATTTGTATGCCTCTCTATTCCTGGTAGCCATTCTGACTGAGGTTAGATAGTCTTGAAGTAGTTTTAATAGCCATCTCCCTCGTAGTTAAGGATGCCGAGCACTTAAAGTATTTGTTTACTGAACATTTATATTATTTTTTCTTTTTGAGAAATTTCTGTTCATATCTATAGTCCATTTTAAAATTTGGGTTTTTTTCTTCATGTTTAGTTTTTTTTTTTTTAGCTCTTTGTATATTCTATACACTAATCTTTAGTTGGATGTCTACCTGTTAAAGATTTTTGTGGCATTACCGTGCTACATTACAATTATTTGAATAAACAGTCTGACTCTTAAGTTTTTAAGAGTGAGCCCAAACTTGGAGGACATCATTCCTCCAGATGTCTCTTGGAACTGTGTCCCAGAACTCTGCCCTAAGTCAGGCCTTACCCATAATTTTATTCAAAATTGTTCCTCCAGCTTCAGTTGGGGAAGTGCAAGCTTGGATCCACTGGTGTTTTATCAGACTGTCCTGCCTTTTCATCCCTAGTTCTAGAATATCGCTGTTCTAGTTAGTTTCTCCATTGCTGACCAATACCGACTTGAGGAGGAAAGGGTTTATTTGTCTTACATCTCCTGGGTCACAGTTCATCAGGGAGCCCAAGATAGGAACTCAGGGCAGGAACCTGGAGGCAGGAGCTAGAGCACAGGCCATGGAGGAACCCTGCTTACTGGCTTGCTCCCCTGGCCCCTGCTCAGCCTGCTTTCTTATACAACACAGGACCACCTGCCCACGGGTGGCACCACCCACAGTGGGCTGAACCCACCCACATCACTCAATAATCAAGAAGATGCCCCACAGACACGGCTACAGGCCAGTCCAATGGAGGAAATTCTCCAATTCAGGCTCTCTCTACCCAGGTGTGTCAAGTTGACAACTAAAGCCATCTAGCACAACCCTTCAATGGGTTTACCTTTCTCTTTAGACCCAAGTAATCCTTATAGCATCTTCTGTAGAGCTAGATTAATTAATGGTGATAAATTCCTTTAATCTGCCTTTTATCATGGAAAAAATTTTATTTGTCCTTCAATTTTAATAGATGGTTTTGTTGAGTATAATAGTCTGGGTTAGCAGTGTGGTCTTTCAGAACTTGGAATACATCTTTCGAGGCCCCTTCTGGCTTTAAAAGTTTCTGTTAAATAATCAGGTTTTATTCTGATATGAGACTGGACGTTTCTCCAGCTTCGGTAGTACCCTTTCTTTGTGTTTTTACTGTTTTAACTATAATATGTTGTGGAATGTTTTTCTGGTCCTCTCTATTTGGTGTCCCATATGTCTCTTTTACCTGGACGGGTATCTTTTTCTCTAGGTTTGGGAATTTTTCTTCTGATTTTACTGAAAATATTCTTTTTGTTTTTGATATGGTAGCCTTCTCTTCCTCTGTCTATGCGCATAATTCTAAGGTTATATCTTTTTGTGGTGTCCCAGAGCTCCCCAAGTTCTGTTCATATGTGTGTGTGTTTCATATATATATATAATAGTAATAATAATTAATAATAATAATAATGTTGAATGAAAAACAGCATGCAGAATGAGTGGGGAAAGCCACAGTGATGAGCAAGTGAGGATCCAAGGTAGAATCTGTTCTGCTCTTAACAACCAGCCCCCCTCCCCCTTATCAGCAAGGTGTTATTTCATACCCTTAGCAGGAACTTGTATGAGTGACAAGTTGGCAGATCATTCTGGGAGAGAAAGAGAAGACAAGGAAAGGGTATAGAGAACGGCATCTAGACCTTTAAAGAAAAGACACTACTGAAAAGGGGAGACTGGCCTGCAAGGCAGATGTGGTACTGTTACCAGCACTTAGGGCCTAAGCCCACCACCTCAGCTCCCCTGTGTTCCTAGGACACAGAAATTGATAAAGTAGAGTTATTTCCTGTTTAGCCAACATGTCTAACCCTTCCCACCACCACACCTGTGGCCATCTTAAAATTTGTCTCAGAAAGTCAGGAGATAAAGGTTAGGACGCATGTCAATTTAGTTGTGAGACAGTTAGCTGGTCCTTCCCTTGGGCTAATGGGGACCTGAGTCCCAGGCTGTTCACATTGTCTTCATTTTGTTATAAGGACAGCTTTGCATTTGAGCCTGGGTGAAGGGAAATGGGATATTACCGATCCCCTATTTTTTTAAATTGCCATATTTTAAATGTGATAAGGTTTAATTTGAAGATGTACGATGCTGTGAATTAACTAATTGAAGAGAGAAATAAATATTTAGAGAAATTTAAAAATTAAAAGTAAAAAATCAGAAGCGGATACTAGATGAAGTCCAGCCTTCATATTGAAGAACCTACTTTACTTTTAATCATGTTTTGTTTGACCTTTTTGCCACCATATCACTCTTCAGTGCAATGTACTTTCCATGCAGTGTACCTACCAAGTGTATATGTATGCTGATTCCTTTTTACTTAGCTGTCATGCTGACTTTTTTTACTAATACATATTAATTGAACATTAATGGGTTTGGTGTGGCCTACAGCATGCACTAATCAAATCCAGTCATTCTTCTCCCATCCCCTATTATCCAGGAATTATAGTTTTTGTTTTTGTTTTTGTTTTTTGTGTATAAGTGTATTGCCTGCATATGTGTAAGTGCACTGTGTTTTGCAGTGCTCATGGAGGTCAGAAGAAGGCATCAGATCCCCTGGAACTGGAGTTACAGACTGTTGTTAGCCGCCATGTAGGTGCTGGAATTCGAACCCGCGTCCTCTGTAAGAGTGGCCAGTGCTCATAACTGAGCCATCTCTCCAGCCCCTAGAGTGTGATTTTTTTTTCTTTTTCTTTTTTTTTTTTAGGAAGCCACATAAGTCATCCTCCAAAGATTTTCTGGCAGAGAGCCCTCATTCAAAGGTTTTTCTTGAGCTTCTGGTTCTTTTTCTTTGTGAGAGAGGGCTTTGCAAGAGGGTCTCATGTGGCCCACTCTGGCCACAGAGTCACAATGGAGCTTAAGATGTCTTTGAACTCCTAATGCTGCTGCCTCCATTTCTCAAGTGCCGGGATTACATGTGTGTGCCACTGTGCCTGTTCTGAACTGAAATACAAAAAATTAGGAGCCATAAAATCCAGAAAAGTACTCATTTAATTTGGGATAGCAGAGAAGGAAATTAAGAGAAACAAACAATAAGAAAAGGAGTTAAGCTGGCTTGAGACACAGAGGAGACTGGGTACACCATGGCACAGCCAAGAGTCAACCAGGAGTGAATAGACACTGCAATGTCTTCTCTTGTCTGAAAGTGCGAGACATTGAATCAGTCTGTCAATCCAGTTAGCCGGAGTTTGGCCTGTTCTGTGGCTTTTCCTACTGTAATTTCTGTGTCTGTGTTTTGGGAGATTTTTTTTTTAAAGAAATAAATGGCATCTATTTTTTAAATGCCTCCCATTCTGAAATATAGGATCTATGTAGATCACTTAGCGTAGATGAAGTATCTTCCTGAAGGTAAAAAGGAAAGGTTGTAACGTTCTTCTTCTGGGGTGGGCATCATCCCAGGCATAGCACTTCTGTACCTGCAGCTGTACCGGGTCACTGGTGACCAGACCTACCTACTCCGATCCCTGGACTATGTAAAGAGAACACTCCGAAATCTGAGTGGTCGCAGAGTCACTTTCCTCTGTGGAGATGCTGGGCCCCTTGCAGTGGGAGCTGTGATATATCACAAACTCAAGAGTGAATGTGAGTCCCAGGAGTGCATCACAAAGTGAGTTTTAAAAGCTGAAAATACTCTAAATTTTTTGTAAACCTGTTGCTGTGCAGAAAGTCAACAATTAAGCTATTTTCTAATCCACAGTTGCAAACAGGTCACTAAAAAGTGAATGGTGGGATCATGTGCTTTCTTTATATCACTACAAGACTATGTCTTAATTTTAGCCATCTTTTCTCACCAATGTTGGTTGCCTTCAGTGAAGAAAATAGACTCAGACCCACAAAATTAATTTGAAAACAACTAATCATGGATTCAATATTTAGCTCTTAGTTATAGCAGTAAGGAAATTACGATGGAGCATGAGCTTTATTGCAGTGATTGGCTTATATTTTTTCTTGAACAAACAGAAAATACAGTTTTTTCCTTGGGTCTGGTAGAGTATTTGGCATATCTAGGCAATTAATGTTGTTCAAAATATTTCCTAAGCACTGACTAACTACATCTCAGTTCTGTGTTTAGCATGTGTGTAGTAAGTGCAACTGTGTTGTGCAATGCTTGAAGAATTAGAAGAGGACATTGGATCCCCTGGAACTGGAGTTACAGATGGTTGTTATCTGCCATGTGGGTGCTAGGAATCGAACCTGGGTCCTCCGCAAGAGCAGCCAGTGCTCTTAACTGCTGAGCCATCTCTCCAGCTCCATGTTACTTAGATTTTTACATTGAATTCTTCTAATGCCAGATTTCAAAATGTGAACTATATTTTTACTACATGGTTTAGAATAAGTATAAAGGTAGAAATTTTGAGCAGAAAGAATTTTTTTCAGTGCTGGACACTGAATCCAGGACCTCCTGTCCTACACTGAGGTACATTTCCAATCCAAATATTTCATTCTTAATTTTGATATTTAAAATAGGAACTAACAGACAAGAGCTTTCAATGTTTTATGGGTATTTTTTGTCATAATTTTAAATAAAATAATAACCCATTCCTCGGGTGATGGAGTTAAGTTTCTGTTTCAGGAAGAGCACTTCAGACTTTCTAGGATAATAATTCGTGTTGTTGGTTAGACTTCTACAGATGCATAGAACTGTTATCTGTCAAGAGTCAGAGCTTCCTGACGAGCTGCTTTACGGACGAGCCGGTTATCTGTATGCCTTGCTATACCTGAACACAGAGATTGGCCCAGGCACTGTGTGTGAAAAAGCTATTAAAGAGGTATAGTGGGGGCAACTTGACCTTTGGATGTTCAGTGCTATCTGTCGGCAGTTATGTTCAGAGAAGCCTCTGCTTCTAGGTGGGATCAGTTTTTAAAAACATCTCATAAAATGTATTTTAAAAAGCTGCTCTTGGGGCTGAAGAGATGGCTCAGCGGTTAAGAGCACTGACTGCTCTTGCAGAGGACCAGGGTTCAATTCCCAGCACCCACATGGCAGCTATGAACTGTCCTTAGCTCCAGTTCCAGGGGATCCGACAGCCTCTTCTGACCTCCGCGGCATTGCAAGACACGGGTGCACTCACATACATGCAGGCAATACACTCATACACATAAAAATAATAAATAATATTTTAAAAAAGAGCTGCTCTTCTCAGAAATACCTTTCTTAAAGCTATGTTCTCTTCTACTCGTTGATTTGGCTGAGTTTCACTGAGACCACCCAGTTCAACTTCAGGAAGTTAGAGCAGGTGACTGCAGCCAGCTCTCCACACTCCTCCACCCTATTCTGCTGTCCTCTATGTACACCTATCACATAACAAGATATGGTTTGTCACCTTAGCCTGCTTGGAGAAGGAAAAGAAGCCGCTTCCTTTGTCTGGATCTCATTTACAAGTGCCCACCTCGTGTCAGCTTGCATCTTGTTGCTGCAACCTAGAAGACTGGCTGGAAGGCCAGGTGCCCAGCTAAAACTGTATCACACTACTTCAGGGACCAGAGGCATAGATAATAGGAGGCACGAATGTGAGTCCTCACAACATAGTCATTCCAGAGATTAGATCCAACACTGCAGACCACGTTTCAGCAGTCTCCTCAACTAAACTTGCACCTGTAGCCTGTCTTAGAGCTGTGCTTGTCCTTTGAGAAAACATTGCATCTACGAAGAAAATAAGAAATTTGAAACTGTTTTTAATAAGAAGTTTTTGTGATTTTAGTCAGCTTTTCATAACAAAGCACTTTTGATTCCTTGGCCAGACTTCTTTTTTAAAAACAAAAATATTTAGTTAGTTTATATGTATGTGCATTGCCTATGTGGGGTCCAAAGGTGTCAGATCCCCTGAACTGGGATTACGGGTGGTTGTGAGCCACAGTTTGGGTGCTGGGAACTAAACCTGGGTCCTCTGCAAGAGCTGCAAGTACTCTTAACCACTGAGCCATCTCTACAGCCTCTGGTTAGACTTCTTAATATATTTTCTCCTTAGGCATTATCTCCTGATTCCTCTCTGCCTGCATGTATTAAATAAAAATAATTGTTAGCTACTAGCTGCTTAAATTTTTCTAGATTAAACAATCTCTCTGCCCCCTGGTGTTAAGGAGAGCGGAGGAAGATACCCGTAAGTTCTATAAACTTATGGTGTCTCCTTATCTCTGTAGGTAGTCACTGCTATTATTGAGTCAGGTAAGAACTTGTCAAGGGAAGAAAGGAAGACGGAGCGCTGCCCCCTGTTGTATCAGTGGCACAGGAAGCAGTACGTTGGAGCAGCCCATGGTATGGCTGGGATCTACTACATGTTAATGCAGGTAAGTAACAGCTCTCTGCAGTAATAAATACAGTGACCATAGTTCAATGTACTAGATCAATATGAATAGGAAATTAACTTCTTCATACAGACCTAACAGGCTGAATTGAAGTAAAGTCCCTACTTTGAGTTACAGAAGCTTAAGCTCTGTTTCACAGCAGATCTAAAAACACATTCTGCATATAGTTCTGTTCTGTAGTTGCCCATCACCCACAGTTTCCCTCTGTCTTGATGGATTGAAGTAGGAACTCATAACAGAGGGTAAAGCTTCAGGAAGCAAGAAGGCCCCATGATCCCAAGGCAGAGTTTTTGTCATTCTTTGGTGCCCCAAAATTGCTGTCAGGTATATTTGAAGTTGCTAGTCAGTTTGCTGCTGTGGTCCTGATCTTGTCCCCCCAGTTAGCCCTGGTGCCTCTGGGATGCAGTCAGAAATTCACCCTAAGTCTTACTTCAACTAACATTTCTGTGTTAGGAACACAGTTGCTTTTTCTAAAAAAAAAGTAGGGCAGATGATGGAGTTTGTCCCAGGCCAAGGGCAAGAGGATGCTACTGCTGTTTCCTGTAAATGGCAGGTGTCCACTCAGGCCCTCAGTGGACTGGCTTATGATACCGCTATGGAGATGGCCATTTGCTTCACAGAGACAGCAAATGAAATGTTATCCCCTCTGCACAGATCCCCATTGACAGCGCCTAGACAGCGCCTCACATCCCCACTGACAACACCTAGATAGCGCCTCAGTTTTTGTTTTTTAAACACTAATAACCTTGGAGGAAACCTTACATGGTTTAGGTTCAGATGTCTAGATTGATTTTGTTCTTTAAGAAAAATACAAATTATGAAATTTCCACTTGTTTGCTTTCAAAGTGCAAGACAGAGGAACACTGGTTAGTACGTGCTGTTTAGACATTTGTGCTACCTTTTACAGAGGTGATTTCATGGTGTGACGCTACTATCTGAGGTGGCCAAGTTGGGAGACAGCTAGCCTGGGGGCTGCATGTGCATATTCCCCTCCATACCACCTCTGTCCTGTATCATGTGGTCTCATATTCTGAGAACCTACTACACATTGCCATTTAGAAGCCTGTCATTACAGTCTATACAAAAGTTTGTTCACATGAGATTTGAAAAGTGGAAGTCTACTTTTACAATGGCAATGGCAGGACAAAGACAATTCTTTTACAAATTTCTTTCTTTCTTTCTTTCTTTCTTTCTTTCTTTCTTTCTTTCCCTTCCCCTTCTTTCCTTCCTTCCTTCCTTCCTTCCTTCCTTCCTTCCTTCCTTCCTTCCTTCCTTCCTTCCCTCCCTCCCTCCCTCCGTCTTACTGAGACACAGTCTCCCTGTAGTCACAGCTGGCCTGGAATTCCCTATGTAAACCAGGCTGGTCTTGATCTCACAGAGATCCCTCTGCCTCTGCCTCTCAAGTGCTGGGATTAAAGCGTGCACCACCATGCTTAGCCAGAAATTCTCATTCTTTGATGAAACTAGGAGATGTACAGAAGCACATATTCTTATACATAAACTAAAAATAGGCAAATGCCCTAACAGAACAGAATATCACCTGAAAGGGAGACTGCTGGCAAGAAACAAGTCAGTTTCTCCTGCATAAGCATAGAATTGAAGGTTGTAAGCGACCTGTGTCTGTGTTGAAGGTGACATAGCGGAGCTCCTTCAAACATTTCTCAGGAGCCTCTGGGTCACTGTTAGGCTGTTCCTCGAAAGAGCGACAGAGGGAAGTGGGGTTGGAAGAGATGAACTGACTTTTTGGATCAGAGAAAGTCAGGCTCAGAGACAGTGAGAAGGGCCTGAACTCCACAGGGCAGGTGGCAGGATCACTGTGTGCCTCAGTTAGCCTCAGACACACACCCCCACCCCCGCCTCCCTTTCACCCCAACTGGCAGGTCAGCCTCCACCCAGGTAAGGGTGGAGTAAGGAACTGATCTCCTGATTATTTACCCTCCTCACTGCTGTGTCTTGGGGCTCTCTGCTCTCCTCTGATCCTGGGTCCTTGTGATCTGTTGAAAAAATTCAAATGCGAAACACATGTGCAAAAGGTGGATCATTGCAGAGGACAGGTTCAAGTTTGACAGTGCGTGATAGGCAAAGGGACCGTTGCACAATCTACATTTTAGGCAGGCTTTATACCATTTCTAAAGTCTCTGGATCAAGCAGCTTTCCTGAGGGTTTCTGTTCTGTCCAGGTGATTGACAGGCCTGTTTGGATTGACTGTCACAGGAAGGAACAAAGCTGTCTTTATTCTTTTTCAAAAAGCTTCCTGCTACATAGTAATTTTGTAAGTTTAGGGCTTCAGAAACCAGATCTAGTAAGTATCAGTTAATGAACTTGAGGACAGTTTGGGATGCCCTGTCTCCTCCCAGATCCCATTCCTTTGACCAGTAATTGAGGCTTGCTGTTCTGGTCTTGGTTTTACAAGCTGCTGATTAGGAGGAAGAGGTGCAGCCTAATGTCCTCATCCTACTGATACTCAACTAGCTAACTAACGGCTGCAATAAGATTCCTGAAAGAAGCAACTTGAGGGAAGAAGGGTTTATGTGGCTCATGGTCTGTGGAAATACAATCCATTAGAGTTGAGGAGAGCACTGTACATGGAGTATGAGGCAGCTGGTTATGGTGCACCAGAAGTCAGAGTTCAGGCCAGAAACAAGGCCAGCTTAGAGCCCTTAAGGCCTAGCCTTCAATGACCCACACTTCCTTCAGCCTGGACGAACCTCTTAAAGTTTCCATAACTTCTCAAAATAGCATCCCCAACTGGGTACTGAGTGTTCAAACTCATGAGCCTGTTGGGGACATTACACATTCAAATCATGACAAACACCCATCTCAGATAAAAGATTTATAGGCAACAGGTATTTTCAAATCCTCATCAGACACATTAGCTAGGCATCTGTAATAGTTAAATTTCTTTTCATTTTTGAAATTTTTATTGAATTTTTGTGTATTTCATATAATAGGTCTTGATCAAATTTAGATCCCCTACCTTGTCTGTACCCCCCATAACTCCCCTCCACCAGATTTCATGCATTCTGACACATATGTTAAATCCTATCTGTTCAAGCGTTTGTACCTAGATGTCCCTTTGTGCAAGTTCATCCACTGTAGTCTAGTCAGCCTATCTAGACTCACTCCCTTTAAAAACATCTACTTTCTCAAAGTAATCAGTTGTCAATGGTTCCTTGGCTAGGGTTGGGGCCTGCTATGCACTTCCCTTGTTCTATGCTGGGACTTTTGTCTGATTGAATGGACATGGGTCTTGTACCTGCTGTCACCATTGTTTTAAGTTCATAAGAGCAAGTTCCCAGAGGCCTGAAAGTCTCTGTTTCCTTGTGTTCATGCACAAACACTGGCTCCTACAATCTTTCCATCCCTTCTTCAGCAGTAGTCCCTGAGCCATGGGTGGGTAGAGTTTAATATAGGAGTCCTATCCAGGGACACTCACTCTGCAGTCTCTTATACTCTAAAACTTAGCCAATTGTGGCCTTCTGTGTGCATTGCACTCTGTTGTATGAGGAAGCTTCACTGGTTCGAGTTGAGGGATGTATTAGTATTCTCTCTACCCCCCATTCCACTATGTTCCATAAGCCATAGGTATAGAGGTTCCACTGTAGATGTGTTACTTAGGGCTGGGCATCTCTCAGACATATATTCTGTGTGTGTAACCAGGTGTAGGAACTCTGCAGTGCCACCCATGAGTTCCCTCCCATTCAGAGGGCTTTAAGTCCAATTAGATAACTGCTGATTACCCCCTTGATAACAGTGCCACTACTGTACCAATAGAGGTAGTTTGCTGTGCTGGACATTGTGGTTAATAGGTTTTAGAGCTAGCCTGGACCATTGATTTATTTTCTTCTTAGCAGCTTGCATAGTATCCTTTAGAGCTATTAGGGCTATTCTTTAGGGAGAAGGCCTTCAGATCAGTTCCAGCTCCATTGCTCCAAGTCCTGTGTCTGAAGTATGTCCTGTCTTCAGTAGTAGGGTCTTATCTTCAAGATCTGGGAGGTAACCAAGGGCTGTGGCAATAGCCTGTGTTATTTGGGGAGTCTCTTGGACTACCCTGATCAACAACTTGAAGGGAGGTTTCTCCTTTCTGGCAACAGTGTTCCTTATTATATAGCCTTCAGATATACACGAGCACTCGTGTTCAGATATTGCATGTGCATTTTTAAAGGATTTTTAAGCTAATACATTTCCCTCTGGCTTTTTAAAAATTGTTTATTTAATAACCATATAATTAGAAGAAGCATTTCATTATAACAGCATTGACATATTCAATAACAATTTCCTGAGCTAAGATGCATCTCTTTCAAAATTGGCTGTGAATTTTAAGATTACAGTTGAACTAATACAATTATATAATATTGTACTCAGTATAAACTGAATATGAT